ATTATATTCTATAAAAATAATTAATATATATATACAATACGATACATGGACGCAAGCACACAATAAACACATTGTTGAAACGTTAAAAAATAAAAAAATAAATTAATAATACTGATCACTACTGATTATCTAAAGGAGCAGGCGGAGGTGATTGGTTTTTCCATGACGTGTACGAGTTTTGTACATCCAATCGTATTTACTGATTATTTATTGTTCGGGTATATACTAACGAGTCATAATAAATGAAATTGATTTTCAATGTCCAGCTCATGATATAAATTTTAAGTATCGCATTAACAATAATTTTAAACAGCAGACCTGCCGCTTGGCTGCTCAACATCTTGGTGAGAAAATAAGATAAACATTTGGCGAATGGTGCTTAATTATTTTTACAATATATTGAGATTTTTTCAATAATAATAATAATAATAATAATAATAAAGTAATAATAAACGATATAACAATAAGCATTGCTTCGTCGAATTTTCATCGTAATAAACGTTTTTGTAAAAATTAATGTAAAACTATATTTTAAACGATGCATCACGATCGATACTTTTCTTTCTTTGTTACTGAAAGTTAAGCTATCATTTTTTTGTAACAAAATACGAAAGCAACAGGCGAGTGACAACATCAGTAACATTGAGTGCGGAGGACATGAAAACGCGTCATCGAAAAAAAAAAAAAAAAAAAAATAACCGCAAGCCCCGCATTGCCCTTTTATTGTATTACCTAGGAGGAAAAAAAGCATAAACTAAAGCTTAACTATCTTTCGATCGAAAGCTCATAAAGCGATATAAAGAATAAAGAAAAAAAAAAAAAAACGAAATTATTAAACTTGTACCGCTAAACATAATCTATACATATTTAAACTATTGAAAGCTAAACTCATAATCATATAAACACTAAACTAAAAGAATTAATGAAGAAATAATAATAATAAAAAAAAATTTAAAAGGTTTAAAAATAAAGTAGTTGATAACCAAACGAATAAAAAAAAAATAACAACAATCTTGCGGGACGAAAGGTAAAGTGAGATCGCACACATAATCAGATGTACCGTTTAGGGACTTATCGATAATCGCAATAATTATCCTGTCGAAAAATAAAAATATGTAGATTGTACGAAGTTTATATGAACGATGAGGAAAACCATGTTTGGTCGAATATTTTTGAGGTGGAACTTGATTCTCATGCATACATGAGATGCAACGATCGGTAACGCGAGAGTGAAATTCGACCTCGAACATTCGATCGATGATGGCTTGCGATTTTCGTCGAGTCGCTGAGTAGTGTAAACGAGCCATGTACACGCCGAGAGATGAAAAATAAAAAATGAGAAGAGCAAAAAGAAGATCTATGGAAAAAAAAACAAACAAAAAATGCCATAATCGAATTACCCAGTAACTTGATTGATCGATAAGAGGTGACGAGCGAGTCGTTAGTCGCTAAGAGATGAGACAGAGACAGATACCGGTGAAAAAGAGGCACAGCTATGCGCAGAAAAGTACACATTACACGCACGAGAGCGCGAAAAAAAGGTGCTAAGAAGCATTTTTTTTTCTGTTCATCGACTCTTTTGTTTTTGCTTCGGCTACTAGAGCGATCGATTGTACGAGGTTACTGCGAAGAGCGTC